GGTCACTCTCTTAGAGAAAGTTTTCAGCAGAGTGTGTTGACTGCCTGCTTTCTTGAATGAAACAAACACAGCAAATCACACTGACAGAGGCAGAAAGAATGGGAGTTAATGTTCCCTAAGTACAAGCTGTGGCACCTGGCCACCTAACCCCTACCCTCAACCCAGCCGAATACAGCGCACCTCTGGGCACCTGGAATGTGCCAGCCGAGCGGGTGGCCGTCCGATCCCGGTTTACCTGCATCCATACAATGGCCCTAATCCCTGTGGGCTCATCAAAGATCCTCCGTGGACTCTTTGGACCGAAGCAAGATGAGCAAACGTCTATCCCAATTTCACACCCACTCCCAAGAACTCACTCTCAGAAACTGTGACTGGAATTGGGTCCCTGACGGAGACAGGAAAGAAAACCTTATCCAGAAAGGAAAATTGGATCAAACATTTATCATCTCATATCAGGTCTGGCAATGATGACTATGGATATTATTGTTTAAATTAATTAATCTTCTATTAATCTTCTTAAAAGGAGGAATTCAGATAGGACATATACTAATTTAAAAAACCCTCAATGCGTTGATATTTGAAAACTCCAGTCAGTTCTGTTTGCTTGTTTGTTTTCAACTTCTGAGGCTTTAGAGACTTCCCATCAAAATAACAAAAGAGTGGCTGAACTCTGATGTCTTATGGGGGGGAAGGGGGGACTTGTAATACTTTCAACAATAAAGAATTACTTTTTTAAAAAAAATTTACTTGTATAGCAACTTCTAGAGAGTAAAAAAATAAGAACTATTTGTGAATAAATAAATTAGAATTAAAAAAAACTCTGATGTCTTGTAAAGAGCTTCTGCAGCAATAATTAATAGATGGGGCCATGGACACTTGAATTAATCTTGGAAACCACGGTCAAGGTGATGGGGACAATAAATGTGCCATGGGGATGACCCATAGAACTGCACATCACTGTTGTGTTCCATCATTGATATTGATGATAGCGAAGAAGCAGCCACTCAGAGACAGAACTAATAATAAGAGTCTTCAAAGATGTAAGGACCCTTTCTCATTTCTATGTTTGGTAACTGTCCGTGCTTATTAGTAACCAATGATATTTTTTCCTGCCCTAAAGGGCACGAGCAACAAGCCTTCTTTTCTTCTCTTCCCTGATACATTGTAGGCAGCATTGGAACCAGTTAACTCACTATCCTGTAACAGCCCATTTGAATACTAACATTTTTTCCCAAATGTAAATATGTAGAAAGAGAGGTTAGAAAAGCCAAGTATTAATACTATTGCATGGTTAGAAGTATATGGGCATTGCAGACAGGACCAACTCTACCCTGAGCAGATTCCCAAAAATGACATAAAAATTCCGGGACCATCCTGGGGCAAAGGCACTGGGAGGGGTCCACCACGTGTTTCCCTGGTGGTGGTGATGGGGCCATCGCCAGCATTAGTGACATTACTGGGGTCAGACTAATTCCACTCCTCCTTTCCTTCACACAAGGGCATGGCATGCACTCTCGTGGTCTGAAGGTGTCATGTAGAAGCCAGGTTTCCTAGGGAACGGGAATCCTTTGTAGGTGCATCTTGTAATTTAACCAGCCAAACAATGAGATTGCACTCAGTGCTTCCTGGCCCTTGAACTCTTTTTGGCTGCTGCACGTTTGCCCCCTTGGTGCCTTCTGATCCTCATAATAAGTGCTTATTGTAGATAATGAACATTTTTCTATAGCAAGGAAACTGTAAGCTCTCTGTAAGATTCATAAGGGAACAATAAATCTCTTTGGAAATATAGAGGTAGCCATGCAAAATAAACAACTGTTTGGTTCATTGCTATTACCTCATTTCTTTCTGGAAGCATTTATTTGAGTTTCATGAGCGAAGTTGATATTGTAAATAAAACTTTCCCGTGATCCCAAGATAACACTAAGTTTTCACAATCTATGCCAATGTGCTTATGTTGCACAATTTAGATTCTTTCTTTTCTGTGAGACTCCAAATATTTCTCAATAAGAACATCCTGTTTCTAATCATGCCCTGAAAAATACCATCGAGTAGCTTACCTTTTCCCTCTGAACTTTTCTATGCTTTAAATCTAGCCTTAAAAAAGTGAAAAGGATACCTATGTGATTACTTGGAGTGAATAAGATCATAATCAACTCAAAAGAAAGCATTATACTTGTCCAGAAATGCCTCACCGGGAATACTCCAAGGAGGAAATAAGTGTGTTTATCTATTGTGATAACAATACAGCTGCCTAGCAATCAAGTTAACTTTATGTCATCTTTATCAAGCAGTATGTTTAGAGTGGAGACAATCTGAGGAAAGAGAAATCTATATTGTGGTATCAGCACAATGAAAGCGTATTTCTACAGTAAAACACAGTCAGCCTCTTGTTTATGAAGTTAAGATAATGACTACTTAAAACGCAGTGTTTAATAGGCATAGATTATTTACCATTTAAAAATGTCATAACACATAAAAGTTTAATGTCACTTAAACTTTTCTCCAAAATCACTTTTTCAACATTACTTATTCTAAAAAAATATATAAATATTTTATTGAAAAAGGGAAGAGATTTTGTTATAATCTGTGTGTACATATGGGTAAGTTTGTATGCGTGTGTGTGTGTGTGTGTGTGTGTGTGTGTGTAGGAGCTGAAAGAAAATTATTTTTTTTAAATTTTGTTCAGTAGTCTATTTAGGATAAATTGTCTAAAGAAACAGGTTTACTTTAATAAAGTTAATTACAAACAATTATTTTTTAAATTAAATAATTTACCAATCATGTAGGAGCCTCATTTTTATTTTTCCTAACAGCTTTTTTTTTCTTATAGAAATTTTTTTTTCTTATAGAAATTCAAGGCTGGTGTCTCTAAAGGAACGTTCAATGTGCATTTGGATATAATAATTACCCTCTTCCCTGACTTCAGCACGTATACTCAGATGAACCACAGATTTCACACCAACAGTAGAAAAGCAGCAACATACAGAAAAGAGGATCTTTGGGGTTTTGTTAAGGAGGAGAAGAATTCCAACAAGTAGAGAGAAATATAGGAGCTGGGACTTGTCTGCTAAGTTATCATAGAAATGCAGATGAACTGGATTTTAAAGGCACATGCAAGAGGACTTGATGCTGTCAACTGACCAAGCACGAAAGAGTGGTATATATTTTTTGAGTGCTTATGTATGCCCTCCCATAGAGATTGTCCAAGGCACCACACTGAGTTAGTGCAACTGTCTTACTACTTACTGTTCAGCTGCTCTCACCCACCCTGGGAACTAGCAATCATTTTTGCTCCCCCTCCTCTTCTCCATCAAATATTTTGTCTACACCAATGTGGATAAAATCACTGCGATTATATTTCTAGGAATATTTGTATGAAAATATTGTATCTCACAAAGGAAGGTAGCAGGACATTTTGCAATGTACATGTGCTGTGGAGGTTCAAATCCTGGCTCTACACTTGCCTGCTTGGGAGCAATTCCAGCTCCCCTCCTTTTCTAGCAGGTGATCCCAGTCATGCTGCTCATCTTTCCTGAGAATTCGCATGGAAACAGGGGCAATCAGATATTCTTTACATGACTGACATAAAATTATATTTAAGAAGTATATATAAAACCACCCAGTCCAGGGCTATTGAAATAGAGGAGAGGGCCTGAGCGTTAGCCCATTAGAGGAATGTGAGGCACCAGAAGGCAGGTAGAGATGCTTATGAGGCTGAAGGACTTTTCCTGAACTCCAGACAGAGGGCCATGAGGGTGATGACAAAGGCTTTGAAAATGGTAAGTTGATTTACCCCCAAAATACATTTTTTAAATTATAAAGTTGAATTACAAGTACAAACACCTGCAACAATCCTTGCAAATTCATTTGTGTGGCTCATGAGATTGCAGACAGGAAGCACTAGGGAGCTAGATCCCAAGTCTCCCCAGTTATGCCATTTACTAATGCAAGTTCCAAATACTTTCAGAGTGATAGCTTGTTCAAATGCCATAGCAATCTTGTGCAGAGGTAGTATTCGCCTCCTTTGAAAATGAAACCATTGAGGTCCAGGGTGATTAGGTTGGATCTTAAGGGTGGTGTTGGGATTTCACCCAGTATTTTGGATTCCGAGTGAAGGGACACTCTCTACTCTCCCACCATTGAACTCTGCTCTATAGTTATGAAAAATAATAGATGGTGGACTATTGGCGATAGCTTTTAAAATGGGGGACCATAAATTACCAAAACATTTTTCCCAAGATATGTCAGTTGTTGAGAGGAAAGAGACCTTTTCGTGATGATAAATGATCGACTCATAATAGTCACCAGAAAAACAATGAACAACAGCAACAACCATAAACATAAAGCACAGTTTCCAAGTTCTGCTACAAATGAATTTTTACTTATTCATATTTTTGTGCTAATAAAGGGAAAGTTATCTTGCTGAACTTTATCATTTATGTTTTGGAATAGAAAAAAATGTCAGTTCTCTTTCTTACTCCATTAACTGTTGGCTCCACCTTTATCAACCCAATCCATTTCATTCCAGTACTGGGTGGATCTGAATTGCCCAAACTCTCAGGTGCTGAGTCATGGCTCTACACGAGGTAGGTTTGGGGAATTAAATCAACCACTCACTGACTTATTCTACTGAGGTAAGAATAAGACTACTATAGCAATACATGTTTTGTAAAAAAATTAACTTGTAAAAGTTTACACTATGGATTCATAATCACTCTTACCATAAAAACATACTCATTTCTTTGAGCTTAAAATTGTACTCCATCTATAATGTCTCTATGTCTACCTATCATGTACAGAACATTCATGTAGGTTTTTTAAGCTTCTGAATAATCTGAAAGTGTTAAAAGTTCTTTTTTGTTACTCATGCTCCACAATAAAATTGCTAACACTTTTTTCAGAGGCTACAACCTATAGTACTAAAAAAATACTATTAAGTAACAAAACAAAGAAAATTTAAAAGATTAACAACAAAAACGTAAGCATGCTTTAAATCTTACCTGTTCTTTAGATCCCACAGCTGTTCACCACACGTCTCCCTAAATGAAGAAGAGATGTGTCACCAGTTAAAAAGTTGTAAAAATGATGCTATTAAAATACTGCTCATTTAGGTGATGCATGTTTATATTCCTCAGCTATGGAAAACGTCAAATTCCAAAGAGAAGTGAAATTAATTGTATTTTGGCATTTCCCTTCATGATGATTGTTGTAAAAAGCAACTTAAAATGTTTCTTAAATCAAAAGAAGCAAAAACGTGCTCTAATTATTCTGGGAAGAAAAATGACAGTTTAGAATATTAATTCAATATTCTTCATAATCAGAAGTATATATACACTGAAATAAGTTATATATAATCATCAAATATTAAATTTAAAAAATTCTGTTGGAAAAGTCCTTGAACATTCTTACAGTAGGGTATATTCCTTACATTGTAAGGAATGTCTTACGTCGTTAAGATTTAGTTCTTTGGTAAACACACACAGAGCCCACTCAGTTGCTTCACTAACATCACTGGGTCTCGAGCAAAATACAATCTCTCAAACCAAGATGATCATGTTAAAAAATAGAGAGACAAATCAAAACTTCAAAACTGAATGGAGGCAAAGGCTTATTAAGATTTTAATTGAAAACAGAAGTGTATTATTGATATATTTTTATGAAAGTAAAAAAGATACAAGTTCATGGAAGTGTTTCAGTGTTTCAAAAGTTTCACAAGCCATTCCAAAAACTGGACAACCATGCTGGCATTTCCCCAATGATTTGCATTAAACTTGCTCACCTGTTTGTTTTGTTTTGTTGTTGTTCTTGTTTGTTTGTTTGTTTGTTTTTGTAAGAGTGAAGAGAAAGAAATCAGTTCAGAGTAGACGCTCTATGAGTAGTTTAAGGAAGGGGAAGCATTAATACACTTCTGTAAATTTCTGGAAAATGCCACCTGATTCTGAGTGACATAAGCAGATCTGTAGTTATCTGTAGACATAGGTAGAGAAGGGTGGAGGGAGGTATCAAAAAGCCATAATACATTTTTTGAGTCGATGGATGTATTTGTTATCTTGATTGTGGTGATGGCTTTACAGGTATATACATATGTCAAAACTCATCGAGTTGTGTGCATTAACATGCACGGCATATGTCCACCACACCTTAAAGCTCTAAAAAGAAGAAATGGAAGCTTGTGAGATATATACTTATTGGAGGGCGTAACATCAATGGTTAACACATTGGAAAGGAAATGGAAGTTGTTACTGTAATCTTTGTTTTAAAAAATTCTCTGGATGTTGTGTGAAGGCCACTTGGGGAGAAGGTGCCTGGAAGTGGAGATGAAATTCTATAAGGAGCTTTGACTACCATATGGGCAGTGGGGGTAAAGGATGTTGGGTCAATGCAGGGCAGAGTTAGTCGGAATAAAGCAGAGGCTTGCTGGGGCACTGCACATGAAGGTGGGACACCGTCAGGAATCAGGGATGATGACCAGGGTTTTGGTTTGAGCAACTGGATGTACAGTGCTGCCATTTCCTGAGACAATGAAGGAAGGAAGCACTAAAATTCAAGGGGAATTAGAAGAGTTACACTTTGACAAATTATTTGTGACATGCCTGTGAGACAGCCAAATGAAAATGTTAAGTTGGTAAAGGTTTCTAAAACTAAGAGGAAAAGTTTGAGCTCCAAAAATACTGTTGAGCCTGACCAGCATGCAGATGAATGTGGGAGGCTTTCGCGAAGTGGAGGCAAATGCCATCACTGCATGGGAATAGGAACAGGAACCCGGGGTCCAGATGCCAGAGGGCTTATCTGCTTAGATAAGTACTTACCTTCTCCTGCCCCCAAATAACCAGAACGAGGGTGAGAGAGTTCTGTGACAAGAAGCGAATTATTTCTTATGCTCCTTAGAGGCTACTTTCTAAACTTGATGTTTTAAATTCTACAATCCGGATAGGAAACAAAACTACACTATTGTAGTAAAGTTACCTAATCTGCCCCCAGTTTAATCTTGACATCATCCTTAAAAGCACTTAAGTGTTTAATTATTTATATAATACATGTTTATAATTTTATAATCACCTCACCTAATGCCTATCTCCTAAATAATCTTGATATATATTTTGTTTCATGAGTACTTTTTTTAAAAAAATGCTTTTTAAAAATTATATATGTTTATTGATTTCAGAGAGGAAGGGAGAGGGAGAGATAGAAACATCAGTGATGACAGAGAATCATTGATTGGCTGCCTCCTGCATGCCCCCCCACTGGGGATCGAGCCTGCAACCCTAGGCATGTGCCCTTCATCAGAATTGAACCCAGGACCCTTCAGTCCACAGGCCCACACTCTATCCACTGAGCAAAACCAGCGGGGCTGTTTTATACATTCTTTTAAAATTCATTTAGAAGTGAAGAATAGAGCTGTGCTAAAATTTGAAAAAAAAAAAGAAAATCAAAGTAATTTGCACAACTTGACAACATGTACACGGAATGTGGAAAGTCTGTGATACGATTTGCTGAAAGTAGCTGGAAACTCTGTAGTGTGATGATCTGTAATCAACAGCTCTTACATACTCATTGTGATTAATCAGAATCAGAGCAAACAACTTTGAAGTTATAATTTATGATTATAGAAGGAGAATAAAACATAGAAATTTCAGGGCTGGTATGAATGGCATTCTTTAAAGTAAAGCTTAGGTTGAGAAAAATACATGGGAAAGCTAGTTTTGTTAGTTTGCATTCACTTTGAGCCTACCCCAGATGTTGGGGAGTAATGTAACCTTGCTGGAGTTTTGTTTCTTCATCTGTAAAATGGAAATGATACAAAGAACTTCCAAGGGTTTAAATGAGAATAAATGGGATAAAATACACAAAAATGACTTGTACAGTGCAGAGTATTAGAGACTGCAATACAATAATAATAATGAGATGACATACTTAATGATGGTACCTGATAGTGATTTTAATTTGTGTACTGTATTTCATTTCATTTAGAATTTTCCAAGTCATTAATAAGGCCTGGGAAAAAAATAATGTCAACTTTTCAGATGTTGATGAAAACAATAAATGAAAGAAACATGGAATTTTTAAAAGTTTGTACACTTTGCCCTAACCAGTTTGGCTCAGTGGATAGAGTGTCGGCCTGCAGACTGAAGGGTCCCAGTTTCGATTCTGGTCAAGGGCATGTACTTTGGTTGTGGGCACATCCCTAGTAGGGGGTGTGCAGGAGGCAGCGGATCGATGTTTCTCTCTCATCAATGTTTCTAACTCTCTATCCCTCTCCCTTCCTGTCTGTAAAAAAATCGATAAAATATATTTAAAAAAATAAAAATAAAAGTTTGTACACTTTTCTGACCGTGAATTTTGGTATACAGAACAAAAATGAAGGGTATACTACCTGCTTATGGTGCATTTCTTGGACTGAAACACAGTTCGTAATATGGTTCTTCCATCTCTCTCATTCCTGTCTTTATATTTCCTTCTCTAATTTTTAATTTACTTTTTTTCCTCTGCTCCCTGTGATATTGCTCATTTATTTATCTGCTTGTGATACAGATTAAATCATTAATCATAATTTTGTGTCATTATATTTTCCTTTTTATAAAATAATTCAGTATTTACTGTTTTTTCCCTTTGTATGACTTTATTGGGGTGACACTGGTTAGAAAAATTATACAGGCTTCAGGTGCACAATTTTACAACACATCTTCTGTACACTGCATGTCAAGTCACTGTCCATCAACATTTATCCTTCCTATACCATCTTTGACCTCCCATCATGTACCTATCTCCTGGCAATCAGCTCAATATTCACTGTTGAAAATGTTCACAATATACTAAAAAAAAAAAAAAAGTCATCCAAAATCTTATCACCAAGAGATAACTGCTTTTGACTTTTTTTTTGCTCTGTAGTCACATAGTCTCTTTTCAATGCACTAATATATTTTACAAGTTCAGTAATAGCAGCATGAATATTTTAATTTTCCATGAATATTTAAAAATGATATGAGTTGTTTTCTACAACATTTTTAGGTACTGCATAGTTATTTTAAATTTTAATTTTATAGATGAAATATGATTTGTAAGACCCATCATAAAGGTAGTCGTCAGTTACTTTTTTCTTGTATAAGCAGCTCTGTGATAAACATTCTTAAGGCTATATATTTGCATGAATCATGATTACTCCCTTAGGATGAATTTCTGGACTCAGTCAAGCCTGCATTTCAAATTACAAAAATTATAATACCTATTGCCAAATTGCACTCCAAAAGGCTATAAAATTCAACATTCCTATCAGCTATATATGAGAGTGCCTCCCTCCTCACACTGTAGCTAATAATAGATACTGTCATTTTTCAATTTTTACATTTTTGTCAGTTATATCTTTTATTGTTTTAGTATATATTTTGTTGGTTACCAGTTGGGCTGAAAAGCGCTTTATAATTTTTTAAAAATTTTATATTTGTTAGTTTCTGAAATTATCATGTATTTTGTATAGTTATCTATTAAATCACACATTTTTGGTATAATCACTTCTAATAACTTCTTATATCTTCAGGATATCAACTATAAAAATAAAGATTTGATTATGAAGACCAGTGATGACTTTAACATTTCCAGGATTAACATATGTCGAGATTCATCCTAAAACCCCAAAGAAAGTTAAATAGCTTTCTTAATTTACTGAGATGCAAAAGTGATTACAAGTAGATGAATGAATTTAAGTTCAGTTTCATGCTTATTTTTTTATTACTCCATTTTCATTCAAATTTGTACCAATGTTGCATTCAGTTTATTGTTATGTAGTCTCACAACATTTCTGGATTGTTTACATCAATATATTTTTATTCACTATTATGTCTGTTATGTTCTATTTTCTCTTTCTCTTGAAATTGTGTGAACATGATTTTCCTTTATTACCCCAAAAGAATGAACTGGTGTAACTAATTTTTTCTTTACATATTACCCTATATTGAAGGGCTTACTGGTGTAGCCAAAGTTAAGAAAGAACCACCCTGCAGTACCATCACTGTGTAAAGTTTTCCTGTGTCAGCCAGGGCCC